GCTGCCCCTAAAGGTAAGATGTATCAGACTTTCAAAGAATTATCATTAGAAATAGTAATTAGAAGTCTTAGTTGTGACTGCTGTGCTTCTTGTTATTGGGAACCTGCCAAGGTGTCAATAAACCCCCTTAAAAAAACCAAACCAAAACAAAACTGTACCCGAAACAGTAAGCCTCCTGCCTCTGATGTAAAGAGTTTGAATGATGACAATACATGCAGCAAGACTTAAAAGTCTGGCCCTGAATATTATATACTGTCAGTGAAGATTTTCACAGGCTTATGCTGCTACTTCCTAATGCAATAATTTCTAAGAATTTACAAAGATGGATCCCACTGTGTTTGTCACTACTGTTAGAGTAACAAGGAACCCCACTAATGAAGAGCTTTCAGTCTGCTTAGACAATCAGATATGGTGGAGGAACAGGACAGAATGCACAGAACTGTGTCTTGCAGATTTAATAGCAGTACTATGTTTTCTCCCACTGAAGTCATTTGGAAGAGATTTAATGAGTCAAGACTAACTAGAAGGAGCAAAACAAAAGCAAAAGAGGTCATCTAGGATATAATACACAGAAGGAGGAGGCAAGGGGAGGAGGAGCCAGGGGAATGGGAGACTTCAAATTAAAGAATAGCTAGAGCAAAAGATGGTGGGGGGGGAAAAAAAAAAAAAAAGATGGCACATGGTTGGAGCAAACTGTTCTGATGCAGACAATGCCCAGGAAAAAATACAGGAGTCAGCCTATTGTCTTTAGAAAGCTTAATGATCCACACAAAGACTGTGCTGACACCACTCTCGCTTTTTCCTAGCATTTATTTTTTCAAGAGCAAGGAGAAAGAAAATCTCACAAGAATGAGCAGTTCATTCAAAATGATGCATTTTGGGCACTTTCAAGCAAAGTTTAAGTTTTATTGTATAAAACTTCATCAAAATGAAGGGTAACTGTGAGAGGAATTCTCTTTGTTCCCTGTCGCAAAGTGCTCCACAATGAGCTGGAATGAATGTCTGATCATCTGGAAAAAAATGAGAGAGGGAAATGATGAGAAATAAGGGAAAGAAAGAACAAAGTTGTGGTAGTCATAGAGAAGTTTTGATGGGAGAAGCTTGTTATGCTAGCTGAAGTTTGGCAGAGCAGATGTGAATTCTTGAAGTGATGGTGTGACCCCAGATAAATTTCAGCCATATGCAAACGTTGATATGGTATCCTTCACGTTTGTGTTTTTGTTTGGTTGGTTGGTTTTTTTTTAAAATAAGATCACAATGCAAGCTGTTTTCTCTTTGATGTATTTAAACACTGCCAAAAAGATTTGTAGCATGTTTTAAACATGATGTGTATAGAGGCATATCCCAGACAAATTTTAGAGCCTCCTGTCATGGCTTGGCATACCCTAAGAATAGCCTAATGGAAGTGTCTTAAAGAAAGCCCAAATATATATGAGGAATAGATGGAAATTTCTATTCTTAGTCCATGTCCATTAAATAGATTTCACACATATCCCCAAGGCTTATATCTGTTGTACATAAAGAGAGCCATGAGGCAAACACTGCAGAGTTTGACCTCTCTATTCTTGTACCTTCTTGTATGTGAAATTCAGCTACAGTGTACTCTGAAATGAATGATGACTAGTGTCTAGAGATACTGTTGCTTTCTTTGACATAAAGTGCCTCAATGTTTAATTTGAGAACAATTTTTTGAGTATTTCAAACAACTGATTGTTCAGTGAAATAAGATTTACTTGAACCTTAAGCAATTTGTTTCTGATCAAAATATAGGCATTATCCCATTGAAAAAGGTACAAATCAAAGTTCTGACACAAAACAAAGAATTGCAAGAATCTAGAAATGTGCAGTATGATGCCTTTTCTATTGATTATGAATTTTGAAAAGTCAGGTCCCATCAGAATATGGGGAGAGACCAATGATTACTGTGATGATTTGGTTCAAATAATGTCTTCTTGACATCTCTAGTGGCATTATCAAATAATCCAGGAACATTTTTCCATTACATTGAATAGTAAATGATAATCCAGGAACATTTTTCCATTACATTGAATAGTAAATGTATTTACCTGAGTGCTGAACTTTTAGGTTAGCATGACAGTTGTGGTACATTTCAGTTCTGATTACTGTTTAGACAAAATAGGGGGACTTCAAGAACTGCTGACACAGGCTGAATTTAGATACTGATGATCTCTTCCTCACCAGTTCTTGCAAGATTTCACCTGAAGTGAAATAATTAAGATGCTTAAATGTTTCCTAAAATGAAACTTTGTTCTGTCTCTTGGAAATTCATATGTAGGTGTCACCATTGCAGCTCTTCCTTCTAGCAAGTAATTATTTCCTTGTGGAATGAGCCACTAATTGTCCTGGATAAAGATGAGAAAGCTGGGACCATAAAGCACAGGATTTTCATTAGGATCGTGTATTGGTTTTCTGGTCAAAGTAGCCTTAATTAAGTCTGTGCTTAATCTACTGTTAACTTCTGGTATTAAGTTGGGTTCTTTTCTCTTCATGGGCCAAATTCATATACAAAATTGAGATTAGGAGTAGCACAAGACCTCTGCCATATAGATTTTAATTTGATTATGTTTTTACACTTGCCTTTATTAAATGTAGGTATGTTCATTTCTGGTTTGATGGCTTGGCTGCTCAGCTCGATACTGTATTTTTCCATAGCTGGTGTTGATAAGCTTCTTGTCCCAATCAGAAACCATGAGATGTTTATAATTATTCCTATAATTATTCCATAAAACATGTATCTGTTTCTGACATATTAGGTCTGTATGTGTATAAATGGTTGCAGAAGGTACAAAACAGAGGAGAAATTATTCTGAGAAATTAGGAATTGTGACTATACTGGGCATTATTGTATGGTTGTGATGTAGAACGTTCCAGTAAAATGTTTTCACTTTGTTTACACTCAATGTCTACATTTAATTCTGGAAGAATTACATTTGTATGTCTAGGACCTGTGAAATACATGCTGAATTTCTGAGAAATGCCAGATTGAAGTCTAGAGGACCAAACTCCACATCCTATCTGTTCATTAAATTGTCAGTTAAAGTCAATTCAGTAAATTAAATATTTCTTTGGTTCACTGCATTCATATGATGCTAATTGTACCTGGTAGAGAGAGATTTCATGGTCTCAGCTGGTGATACCTGTTAGTGATTGTTAGTTCTTAGCTTTATTTTTCTTATTTTTGACTAGATTTTAATAACCAGTTCATCATTTTCTTTTGAAATATTTTTTTAAAAAAATCACATTGTCTAGCTATTTTCCAACAGGTATGCTAATGTTGTGGTTTGGGCTTTTTTTTTTTTTTTTTTTTTTTAATGAGGGATTTGTTATTGAGTCTTAATGATGCTAAATAGCTTTATATAGTGGAAACAACAACCTTGATTTCAGCATCCTATTTATGGAGCAAGGGGCAGTTGATAAGGATTATTTTGGTATGAGCCTGCATATGTAATAGTGGAGGGGAAAGGTCAGTATTGAGCTGGACTGACCTGCATAATTCAAGAAAATGCCTCAGTCTGCATCAAGCCTATGAGAAGTCCTGAGAAAATCAATAAGGCCGCTTAAAGGCTCAGTGCGAAGTTGCACTTTATTTACATGTTTTTTTGAACTGAAGCAATTAGTCATGTCAGTACAAACAAATGAAGATCTTTAACAGTTGCTATTTATTCTTTCTTGTGTTTTGGTTTCTCTGTGTCTGTTCTCCTTTTTCATTTGATACATTATGTGGCTGCTGTCTTAGTTCCAGTATAAAAATGGTCATAGCAGGCTAGATTAAATTTCTGACTAAGGTTCAGACTTGTTTTGGCACAAGGGAAATATTGTCCCCAGTAGGCTGAAGTGACATTGTAAAACATCTGTTCAATTCTTTCCCTCTTTCGAATGCAGTTTTGCCTTTGAGCAGTGAAAGTTGCATCTGAAATAAAGAAGTGTAAATTTTATTTTATCACCTAAAATATGTTTAATTAGAAGTCATTCACAGGTTTAAACCTTAGATGACTTGTGTTTTTGTATAGCCTGTCCTTCTCTTGAAACTTATTTGTGTTGTAACATAACATAGACACATATTGTGTTGCTCATCGCTTGAGGGAAGTTGAAACAGTAGGATTTTATTGTTGGTATGTTCTTTCTGAAGATGATGGTATGAGAGGGAGGGAATCATTTTTCTTACATTACAATCCATAGGGCAATCAAATGAGAAGAGGTATTCCTGGAGTTATTCTAATTATTTCTTGCATAGGCCCAGGGAACTGAGTCTAATCTTTGACTGGTAAAACCCAATATTGTTCTACTGACATAACTGCTGACAGAAATTCTTACTTTTGTAAAACTTTTTGTATTGTACCACCAAAGAATCTGGCACATAAAATCTACCAAGCTCGATGGATGCACTGTGAATGTCTGCACACTATATTTGTCTTGCAGACATCACGATGAGTGGGCACAAAAGTAATTATGTGGGAACAGCAATAACAAAGTGATCTCCAAGTTGATTATGGAAAATATAAAAAAACCTAAGTGTTGAGGAGTTAAAATATGTAGTGGTATATAGTTCGCGTGCTTCAATTGCTTCTGTGGACTGATAAGAACAATTGAAAGGAGACTAAGTGCAAAGAAGGGGCAGCCATAGAAGGGGAAAGCTGAAAGGCAACTTCTAATTTTAGGCATTATCTGAAGTGTTTAAGGCTGGAGTTCAGTGAACACTTGAAGCTGGCAGGGCTGTTTATGCCCATGCTTGTGCCACAGCCACCGCCTGCAGCTGCATGTTATGGGATCAGGCCACTCACTGGGCTGAAGGGGGCTGTGTCTTCTGAGTTTAGTCACGGATGGTATTCTCAGAATTTGGGACACTGGTTAGGAGATCTGTCAAACTGCTTGCAGGAGGCACAGAACAACTTAACCAGCTCTAGCTACACATTACTTAGCAAATTATCTGCATGTCTTGCATTTGTCATGTAAAATGCTGTGGCCCTTTCTTGTGTCAGGGTGCCCTGGTGATCAGTGTGCCTGAGGAGTTGCTGACTGCTATGATGAAGAGCAGAAGCCCAGGACCAGTATGTGCCTCCTTGCCTCGCAGCAGCACCGCTAGAAGGAACGCTGCTTTGCTGCAGCCTGTAGCCATGGCTTTATTTCATTATATGCTCCAGCACAACGGTCTAGCAGTCCCATTTACATGCACATGATCAGCCCTGTTAAACCACTCCCCTTTTATCCCACTAGGTTGTAATTCACATGTCCAGTGACAGGGAAGTTAGGAACTCTGCTTTAGAGCATGCAGTTGGTCCTCCTGTACAACAGGTTTGTACTTTTTTACCATCATATCTTTTGACTGGTTACCGTTATTTTCCAGAATGATATCCAGCCAGATTCTGAATATAAAGACAATCAAGAGATGAAAAAATCTTCCTACAAAAGAGAGGCTGGTGCTATGTGTCTCTAAAATTTGTTACCGTTATTTTCCAGAATGATATCCAGCCAGATTCTGAATATAAAGACAATCAAGAGATGAAAAATCTTCCAACAAAAGAGAGGCTGGTGCTATGTTGTCGCTAAAATTCCAGCACAACTTGATTTCTTAAAATAATAAGTGTCAATATGTTCATTGTAGTATTTTGTTATTGAGTGCATGGAATCATGTTGAAAATACATATTCATCAGGGAGGCAGAGAGAGCAGCTTTTCAGTTTAAGCATCACACTAGCCTGCTCTATCAAATACTCCAAAAACGTTCAGATAAAGCTCTGTACCTGGAGCCCCAGTGCTGCATGTCTGCAGAAAAAATATATATAACGCCATAAATCTGAACATAGCTGCACTCACTGCAGATCTAATTCAAAGCGTAGTCTTGAACCAAGCAGTCAGCATCCCAAGATTTTTGTCTCTGAACATCAAAGTCTTCATGAATGAAATTCAAAAAGCAGACAAGCAAATGTCAGCAAAGAGCTTTTGTAGTGTGCACATGCACGTGTACAAATGCACACACACCTCACCAGTTGAGATCGTCAGTGTTGGAGGATTGTTATAGAGCTTGTGATATTCTCAGTTACAGGCTAATAATCCAGGTACTTCTGAGTACTTAGTCTGAGTTCACAGTCCACTTTGAATTTAATCTCATCTACTCTCCATTTCACTTTTAACCATTGTGTTCTGTCATGAGTTTACTTTAACTTTACTTTATTCATAAATATTTTATTTGAAATTGAAATCAACAATATAAGTAAGCGACAGCTATCACGTTTTGTGACATCATGCTGGAAGAATTAGATACCATTACTTACAGAGTAAATATTACATAAAATGCACAGTTTAATTTTTCTTTACTGGATATACTGTGTAGTTATCCAAATATACTGCATATCTTTATGCTCTGGAGTCTGATCTCCAGTAGAATTGTAGGGCTTGATCTTCTAAGTCCTTACCATTGACTGTAAGGGGAATATCTAAATATATGAATAAGTTGTGCCATACTTTCTCTTGTTTTAGGACACTTCTGCTCTGAATCCAGAAGAGATCATTTATTCTGCATGTTTTTGAAATAGTAATTATACCTTGTCTAGAAGGATATTTCTTAATCCCTTTCAGAAACAGGAGCTGGAACTGTGGTTCTGTTGAGGCGCTGCGGAGAAGATGGTCTTGGCCAGCATGACAGTTAGTGGGTAGATCTGAGGGAGAAGAGTGGTAGGAGTGATATGATGTAGAAGAAAGTGGAGGTCTTGAAAGTGACATGGCCAAAGCCGCAATTGAAAGCACTGGTCTGAGAGAGATGGTAGGTTTTGAATGGATATTGAGACTCTGGGTTTATAACAAAGGAGGAGCTGGAACTCTGTGAGGAACAGTGGTTCTTCAGAACAGTGGTTGGTGGTTCCTGGGCTTCTGGACTGACAGAGAGGGGTCACGAGAGGGTATCTTTAACTAGGACCCTGGTGTAAGGGCAGAATGCATGCACCTGTCCCAGTCCTCTTATTTTTATTTTTTTCTTCTTTTTTCTTTTCTTTTTTCTTTTTCCCTTCTTTTTCCTCTTTTCCTCATTGCCTTTTTTATTCTTTTGTTTGCTTTTTTTCTTTCCTTTGTCTGAAATATAGCGGCCTTATGACAAAGATAGCTTTTGCTCATCTTTCATTTCTTTATTGTCTTATACAAATCATTCCAGTGTTTTCTTATCACTTTTCTTCCCTTTAATGGTGAGTAAATTCAGATGATGTAGAGACACTCAGGTGCATATGACCTGGATATTCTTTAGTGTATGACTCTGGATTGAGATAAACTGGAGTCAACAGTGTTCTTCAGTTTATAATGTTAATATGGTGTAATGTTTGGACTGTCAAAATAACTTTCCTTTTATACTTATGTAATCATTATAGCTAAACTTTTCAACAGACCTATAAATTTTTGCCAATAGCCTCAAGAACCCCAGGTTTATTCAAGGGACAGACATATAGACTCTGCCTATTTTCATTGCCCCAGTCCCCTTTCTATTCTGATTAACCCAGGTGCTAAATTAAGAGTATTTCTCTTTCCTTCAGAGGAAAAAAATTGGTGTGAGATCAGAAACAAACCTTACTTTTTGACAAAAGAACTGTCAAAGATGATGAAGGATCCTTAGCCTGGGACAGAATTAACTTGAAATTCCTAAATGCTCAGAAGAGTCTTATCACTAAGATCAAGGTCTATTCTCTGGTAGGCATTAAATACTACTATACTGCTTACCACATTTCTGTTAGCTTAGAGGAGCTTGAATCTCATCTTTGACCCTTGTCTCTCTCTGTAACTTCACAGAAATCATAACACATTACTTTCAAGTTTCTCAGTCTGCGTGAGGCAGGTTTGAGAGTATTCAGCTGTACAACTGAAGAGGGTAGCCCATGTTGCTGTTAATCAGATGAAATACTTAGAGCACTAGGAAATCAGAGAAGGGAAGGATACCTCACCCAGCAGGTTTAAGTTTATCTGCTCATGATATGGAGTATAGGAAAAGTCTGCTTTAATCACTGTGTTACATTTCATAGAATCATAGAATCATAAAGGTTGGAAAAGACCTCAAGGATCATCAAGTCCAACCCAACACCACCTAACTCACTGAACCATGTCCCTAAGCACCAAAACATTTGTTCTGTTTTGCTTTGTTAATATGCTATTTTTACAGAAAAAATTGTGTCACCATGTCTGATCTTCCTCAAGGTCCATGAACGACCTCATCTCCTGAAGGTTGTTGTTATAACTTATTTTAAAAACCTCTTTGTGGGTCATATTGGAACAAAAATTAAAGCTAAATTTAGCTTTTATTGATGGAATTGGGGCTTGCAAATGCAAACTTTTGCACAGAAGGTTTAACAAAACTCTTTCTTTAGTAGGCACTGGAACTTTGCTATTGTGCCAAAGGAAAAGTAAAGCTTATGAAGGCAAAATCACTTAGTTTAGGAACTTGGTGGTTGACTTTGTTTTAACTTCTGATCTTGATTTTGAGCTTTTGCGTGGGTAAGGGAATATATTGGGGGGGGGGTTGGCAGAATCAGTTCATTATTAAAGGGAAATCTAAACTCTGAAAATGTTTAAGTAGTGCCCTAGCTAGATTAAATGTCTTTGTCTGCTAAAGAACACAAAGTTCTTACTATTTGGTTAAACAAAAGACTGGGAAATATATTAACAGATAATATCTGTTCTGAATAACTGTTCTGCTAAGTGGAGTGCATTTGGCTTCTATTGCATAATCAAACCCAAATTATAAAATGGCAGGATTTGCATAGTCACATCCCTTATTTAGTGCTATTGCTGTATCCTGCTGTTTGAATGGTATGCAGATTGAAAATCTGGGAGCTGATCTCCTAGTGAAGAGCAGGTTCAGCCCCACAGTCAGGACAGACTTCCTTACCAAGAGGCACCTTGTCTCTGACAAGGGCCATTTTAAGAGGGAAGTGCATTTTGTTTTGCCCAGGAAATTTGCCTTGCTACTTTCCTTGAATAAGTAAAAGGTTTTAACCTGTGGAACAGGAGGAAAAGCCCAACTTTTTTGCATATCTTGACTGTATCTATATCCAAACGTATCTACAGAGCAATGACCTGCATCCACAGCTCTTCCTGCATTACACTTTAAGGTATAGCTTCCAGTCGCTTCTGGAGTCTGAGTTTATAATATATAGATACGGCATTTTCCCCTACTTCAGACCTAAATAATGTGAAGTCAGTGCATTAGAAATAAGCATGTATGTTTGGCTGGATCAGGGCCCTAATCTCAAATTAACGTGTTAAGAAGCTTATTGCAGTGGAAGATATTAGAGCCTATGGGAAACACCACTACAAACCACTGGAAGTGACCGTGACAGATTCAATCCTATCAGTTATTTTGTGGGCTCCTGTATATTCATTTGCATAGGTCCAACCAGAAAACACTGCGTGTGTCAGGCAATATTCTAATGTTGATAAATTTTGGTCATATCTTGTGTTAAGGGAGCAAAGTGCACTTTTAAATTCTAGCTAAATCAGAACCACATTTGATAGATTATTTTTTGAATAATTGTTTGATATGAAGGATGTCTTTGGAGAATGTTCAAAATAGCTCTCTCCTGTATCGATGTGTGATTGGGTGGGGGATGGAAGAGGCCAGCAAGACATGGATTCATTTTGTATCTTTGCCACTGGATTGTGGGGGTTTATGTCCTTGTAGAGATCACTTTATCTTCAGTGCTTCAATTTCTTGCTCTTTGAATGTGGCCATGCTACAGCTGTCCACAAAACAGCTCTGGGAACATACATGGCTAAGAGTCCTTGTATGATTAGTAATGTTAACTATTGAAAAATAATTAACCAGGCTTAGATGGGATCTAAAGCACTTTATGAAGTTCTGTAACAGGAATAGATGCAGCAGAAATAAGTCTAAAACCTTGAGTGTTAGAGTAAAATAGTTTATTTTTAAAAGTATGTCATTGCTAATAGACTAATAGGGACACTAAATTTTTAGGGCACTTGTTATTTTGAGAAGTTGGTAAACAAGGTAGATAGAATGTTTTAGAATAAAGTATACTTTGAATAAATTAAAAAATGAAGTTTTTAACCTTTTACAGTCAATTTACTGGTGTTACAACTCTGTCACTGTAGTGCAGTTAATGAATAGTGTGTTCAAAGTATGTTGTGGAGAATGTCATCAGTAATTGTAGCTTAGTGATATATATGTTGTTGAAAGGTTTTAGGGAAAAAGAGAACATAGATGAATGTTTAATGAAGGAGGAGCTGTGCCTGTTTGGTTTTGGGGGTTGATTTTTGACAGGTCAGGAGAGTAAGAACGTGATAATTACTACAGGTTTACTTTATCACATTTCTTGCTGGGTTTTCTTTACACTGTTCAAGAGTACTAATCTTCAGTCTTTTAATGGGTTAACTTCACAAATATGCTTGATATTCTGAAATAGCTGTAAAAGTTTCCATGTCATCCTGTAGAATGAACTGAATTAACAGAAGATACTGAACTAATGTATTTTTCTAACAGTCAAAAAGTGACAATTCTTGTTTAGAGTAGAGGTTTGTATTAATGATTTACTTTTTAAAAGTTTACAGATTATATTTGTATTGCTGGAGTTGATAATTAATGTTATTAATAAGTACTGAAACAGTCTGGAAATACTTGATGTACTTGGATGCAATAAAAAGGAGTATTCTCCAAGTCCCTAATACGGCTTTCTTAAATCTGGTTTGTATGATTCACAGAAAAAGTGGCAGGTGTTGGGAGCACTTACAGAAGTGCCACTTGGATAAGTTGAAAATTTAATCTGTTTATCTAAAGACAGAATTGGGAAATGTGTTTGGTTTGCATTTATCTTTAAGATTCCTCTGTTGAGTGTACAGAGGAGCTTTACCTGCTGCAATTTAAGGAAATCTAGCACTGAGGCAGTATGCTGAATGAAACACATATTTCCTTGAAGCAAAGGGGCATACTTTGAAATGTGACTTTCCTACAATGTTTGTTTAGCTTCCTGGATCCATGTGAATGTATGTAATGTAATTTGCAAGCATTTTGAATAATATAGACAATAAGATCAAGGAGCCTTCCATAAAGAGCAGGGAGTTAAGAGGGCGTAATTCTTTTCTTAGCCACTGGATCACAATTACAGCCTTACATGGGCAAACAAAAGCAGTAAAATTGGGTAGCTTGGAGCACTTGGAAAGGAAGAATTCATATATAGAGATGGCAATGTAATAAAATGTCAGGTGTAAAAGCAGACTGAAGAGAATGCCAGGGAGTATACATCTAGCCACATTGCTTATAGAGAAGAAGAAATTAAATGCAGAGATGACAGTGACAAATCAAAAAGAGATTGTTTCATTCTTCCCATCCTCACCTTAAGGACTGGTTCCCACTTACTGTGTTATAAGTAAGCTTTTCCACATTCAAGCTAATTTTGCAGAGCTTCAAAAGCTTAATTGGTTTTGCTGCGTTAACAGTAGGTCATTTCCACGTTTTATTGTTTTGAGAAGTGTGGAGCATGACAGTCAGCAACTTCAGAGTGAGTTGTGGGGTGGCACACTGCTGAGAGCCTCTGGGAGCAGATGTTGAACCACAGGCCCAAAACCTGACATTCTTTACAATTTGGAACTTTTTAATAAAGGAAAGTGCTTTTGTTAAGTGGTTATTTTTTTCCTTATCTATTCTCAGGGTTGCTCTTGTGGAAAATATTCCTGAAGGGATCAACTATTCAGACAGTGCACCATCCCATTTGTCTCTTTTCCAAGGCTGGATGAATTTGCTTAATATGGCTGAAAAGTCTGTTGACATAGTATCTTCCCAGTGGGACCTCAATCACAGTCATCCATCAGCATGCCAGGTATGTTCTAGCCTAACAAAAGGGTGGGACTTCAACAATCTGTTCTTTTTGTTTCACCGTTAATTTTTTAGAACTACAATCCTTCTCTGTAGAGGATCTGTTTGTTTAGGTAGTCTAAAAAACCACTTTCTTAGGGGATTTTGCTGCCAATAAAACAATTTTCTGAGAGTGATGGCGCACTTGGACTACATAACGCATCCAACACATATTCATATCACTTCCATCTTAGGGAAGGATGTCAGTGTGTAATCTTAAGAAACCTGCAAAATTGTACCTGTATTAACACCTCCATAATTTGGGAATTTCCATAAATCTATAGATTTATTTTCTGTATGGTGCAGCTGATGAAGTAAAAGAGCAAGCACATGTATTAATTCTGCAGCCAAACAGATGGATAGAATTATTCTTATAAAGAACAATGCAGTATCAGATGGTTCCTCATACCTTTTCAAAATGAACCTTGAGAGAGAGTGCTGTTCAATATTTCAGCAATTAAGAGCAGTAGGAAAAATCATAAATCATAGTGAATGAGACAGGCACGCATTACAACTATGCTGTGCCAACAAAAACTTTATTTTTGAGAGCAATCCTCTTAGAAATATGGTAAGGGCAGGTTTCCACTTAGTGTCACATGTGAAACTAAGATATCAAAGAATTGATAGTCTGCGAGTATCTTCTCTTTTTCACCACATCACAGCCAAGTAACTAAGGAATCAACTCTGTTTTACTGCATCATAAACTCTTCACTTTCCTCTCTAGCTCTGTTGATGCTGTGCAGTAAAAGAAAAAAAGCTTTTTGGTAGATGATAGACAAAGACCGGTATTCTGAGCAACTAAAGAATAGTACCGCAAAGACCCTGTGTTTTCAAGTCACAAACTGGATTCTACTTCTTTTGAAAGAGGCTGTAGCCTAGTTGAATGGCATATATTAACTTCTCTTCAGAATAAATCTGCTGCGTGTCCATTTAAAAGAGTGAAAATCTGAGGTGAGCAGCCAAATGGAAAATGTAGTTCAAACTCTTCCTTTTAGAATGCTTATAAATATTAGAATATAGATTGTGAATAAATTTATTGAGTATCAAATTATTGAGATTGTTGACAATGTAATTATGCAGCTAAGCTTTATTTGAATTTATTGCCTAAGAAAATTCAAACCCATGTACTGTCATTCAAGTAGATGAATTCAAAGAGAGAGTGCCTTAGATGTTTTCAGGATGTGCGTGAATTGGTATGTGCATGAATCTTTTAAAAATATTTTGTCTGAAAAAAATTCAACATGTTATTTCCTCCAAAGCCAGCAGACCCTAAAGAATCCCAAATAGAGGACAAAAATAGAAACTGGAAATTGGGATTTCAGTAGTTAAGCATCAAATCCATTCACTGTTCCACATTCTCATGCAAAGTAAAACCTGTAAGATATTACTGAATGTCAGAGCAGGGGAAGGACGAAGAGACATGTAAGAAGTGGATTTGCTCTTTCATCCTCAAATGCACTGTTAAAACCAGAAGAATGAAACATTTTTCATAATATTCTGTTCTAGTTATCTATTTCTGCCTGCTAGTAGTCTTACAAAAGTGAGTAATTACTTCTGCTTAAAGGCAATTAATATTCCAGTCATTTCCTCATTTGTACAGCAGTGTGGGCTGAATAGCTGATAGATCTTTCTGTCAAGCTTGTCTGTTCATCCTAAAACACTATACTGTTATTGGCCAGTCTAATTGCTAAAGAAATTGCCAAGAGGCAGCATTTTTTAGCATATCGCTGCCCCAGGGAATTGTACACAAAGCTTGGGAGTGAAAAAGAGGGGAGAAAAGTTGTGCCGTTACCTCTGCTTTCTCCACTTGTAAAATCAAAGTGATATTTCAGAGGATCTTCAATAACTGTGATCTAGTAATTTTCTGAAGTATGAGTTAAATGTCCTCAAGTCTTTACCATTTGAGTTCAGGGACATTTGCCCCAAAATAGCAAAAGCATTATGAAAGGTAAGGGAGTGAGTGCAAAACTCTCAGGTAGTATGGTGCTTAGCAGTAAGTGCTAGTTGTTCCTTGAATTATTCTTATTTTAAAAGAAAATAAAGATGTAACCATTTTCCATATGGACCCACATCCTGCTCTATAGCTAGCAATTTCCATTTTATGAATATTCAAGGCATATTGCAAAGCAAGGTTCTCCACAAGAGCACTTCAACAGACGTTAATTTTTAAAGGAGAAAAGATGAGTAGGCTAGATTGCTTTTTTTAATTAGTTACAAGGTTTAGCTCCATTCTCTGTATATGTGTTTGTTTAGTTCCGTACAGACATGCATATATATATATCATAGAATCATATTATATCATAGAATGGTTTGGGTTGGAAAGGACCTTAAAGATCATCTAGATCCAACCCCTCTGCCTTGGCCAGGGACACCCTCCACTAGCCCAGGTTGCTCAAAGCCTCATCCAGCCTGGCCTTGAACCCCTCCAGGGATGGGGCATCCACAGCTTCTCTGGGCAACCTGTCCCAGTGTCTCACTCCCTTCATAGTAAAACATTTCTTCCTAATATATAATCTCAGTCCATCCTCTTTCAATTTAAAGCCATTACCCCTTGTTCTGTCGCTACACTCCCTGAAGAGTCCCTCTACATCTCTCATATGTGTGCCCAATATATGTATTGAAGAAAAATACATCAGGAAATTCTGCAATTTTACATACACACATACAAATGTATATGCCCTATATATATATATATAATCCACATGTATACATATTGTCCATTTTGTTCAAATGTGTATTGGACATACATGTATATATATACACAGGTATGTGCATAAATAAAGTTGCAGAATGTCCTGCTGTATTTTTCTTCATTTTTGTTTGTCGTTATGTTACCTAGTGTCCTTGACAGTTGCCTGTCCATGCTTTGTTGTTATAAATCCAAACAAGCAGTCATTGCTGGCTGAGCTGTCCTGGTCACAACTGCTGTGCTCAGCCATCTGGGTTCATGAGTCTTGTTAAACTGGAGTCTTCAAATGCAAACGTGGGGTGCTACTATATTGTTGTGTGCCTCCACAGTTTAGGCAGTCAAGTAAACCAGGCTACTGAGTAGCCTTTCTACACTTGCTTTTCTCATTCAGAAGAAAACCGTGTTTTATGGCGACTTAGTAATGTCATCTGTGTGCGTTTTCAAGATCACGGGGTAGTAGTCATACAGAGGCTTTGAGATTGTTGCAGAATGTGAATGTGTGACTTCTGTGGCAATCTGATATTCAGAGATATTGGAGGACAATGGAAACAATTTTTGAGGATAGCGTTTTATTCATTTGCAGTGAAGGGAGAGGTGAACATAAGACTGTGCCAATTTAGTGATTTTCATAATTCATTTTCTCTGGCTCATCTCATGTTTAGAAATTTTAATTTAGAGAATGACCTTTTATGGTTCCAGCAAGTCCAAATTTCATTTTAAGTTTAACAAATAAGAATTAATGCCATCATGGTTTATTGGTAATGCCACAGTTATGGCACAGAAATTGTCTACAATCAGCTATAGAGATTGCAGTGTGTTTTCTTTTCTGCAAGCACATCTTTACCCAAACATCTCTTCTCTTCAGGTGGTGGTATTTACCCAGTGCAGTTAGTACAGCGTGAGGTGTAGAAAAGAAATTTAAAAAAGAGAGTTTGTAAAGATAAATATTTTTAAACTCTGACTGAAATTCAAAAAATTTACATTCCCTCCCTTTTCATAAGCTATTTTTCTAGAAGAACTTGAGGAGAGCATTTGAGTTTCCTTGTTCTGCATTAAATGACAGAAGTTAAATTTAGGGCTTCTTGATATATTTGCTCTGTTGGTTTTTGCCAGCATGCTATGATTTTAGTGATGTTTTACAGATATGCCCAAAGGCTTGATATAGGACAACTTTTAAAAATGTTAGTAGAATTATATAGAATAAATCCAGAAGAAAATTCTGGAAGTAACCAGTTTTATTTCACTGGAAAGGAAAAGCTACACATTGTCTAAGTTACTGAAGAGCACAATAATTCTATTTTAGGGTACTTCAATAAATACAGCATTTTTGTGTCCATATCTCTTCTATTTTATTTTTAATGAAGAATGCATGCTAATAAAGACAATAGCAGACAAGGGAAATCAGCCAGGCTAGAATCAGTCTGCCTAATGACTGCTAAGGAATTGCTTTGGGGGCAACTTCAGGGTGTTTTGGTAATGAGAACTTCCTTTTTTTCTAAATTCAGCAGGTGGCTGTGGCAGGTACAGTTGGGATTGACGTTTCAGAGATATGGTTGTTTAAAGCTACCACGAGAATGTCAGTTTGTTCATGTGATATATACTTTTTACATCCTGTTTTGTCATTCTCAGTAGGTTTTTTGAAACAGCCCAGTAAAAAGTATAAGAGATGTTTCATGAGGATAGGCAGATTTCTAGTCGTATCGTTTGTTAAAACGCAGATATGGTATGAAGTAGCACACTGCAGTTTCATAGCACTCGGCTGTTTCTCAGTCCTCACAAGCTGAGTATATAGAAATGATTCTGATCACTGTCACATAGTCATGCAGCAGCCTGCTATTGTCTCACAAGGGGAATGTGGTCTGAATGACAGCATGAGGGTTTGTGTTCAGCAGAAGCATTTCAAATGTGCTGACAGCAGTGACAAAACTCTTCAGACCTTCTGTCCTGTCTTTTCTTTTCATAGAAGAAAACAGTAAAATTGGAAGTAAACATGTCAGAAAGTATAGAAACTGAGTTTAAAATTAATAATAATGGGGAAGAAGGCCAGGTTCTTTAACAATAGAGAGAGAAATTTTAGTACCTTGCTTTACTATAGTAGATACAGATTTTTAAAAACAAGTTGTGAATTTTTCATAGTTGTTTACAGCATCTAGATGTGCTGGTTTCAGCTGGCATGGAGCTAATTTTCTTCGTAGTATCTAATATGGGGCTATGTTTTGGATTTGTTCTGAGGACAGTCTTGATAATACAGGGGTGTTTTTGTTGTTGTTGCTGAGCAGTGCTCACACAGAGCCAAGGCCTCTTCTGCTCCTCACCCCACCCCACCAGCCAGTGCGCTGGGGGTGCACAAGAAGCTGGGAGGGGACACAGCTGGGACAGCTGACCAAAGGGATATTCCATGCCATATGGAGTCATGCTCAGCAAATAAAGCCGGGGGAAGAAGGAGGAAGAGGGGGTCATGCAGAGCGATGGCATTTGTCTTCCGAAGTTGCTGGTATGCTTGATGGAGCCTTGCTTTCCTGGAGGTGGCTGAACACCTACCTGCTGATGGGAAATGGTGAATGAATTCCTTCTTTTGCTTTGCTTGGGTGTGTGGCTTTTGTGTTACTTATTAACCTGTCTTTATCTCAGCCCATGAGTTTTCCCACTTTTACCCTTCTGGTTCTCTCCCCCATCCCACGGAGTGGGGGGGAGGGAGCAAGAGGCTGTGTGGGGCTTATTGCTGGCTGGGGGTAAACCACAACGCTAGAACAACCCTTGTTGAGCGTATTTTTTCCTGCTGAGGGATGATGCAGAGAGAGATGAGATGGAGGAAATTCTTTCCAGTTCTGGCATCAGGTGGTGTTTTTTTGTAAAAACACACATATTTGTGGTGAGTGCACTCCTAGTCTTAACCATCACTACTTAGAGATGCTTTAAGTGTTTTATTGATTTGAGGTTTTACCAGAATTGGACGAAAAATGATATTATAAATGCACAACTTGTGGTGTCCCTGAATGGCGTCCCTGATGGGAAGAGATGTACTTTCAGAGAAGATATCTTCATTGGAATGCAGGGCTGCACTCCAAGTGATCTATTCACCTCTAGGATGGGCTGTTCAGCTGACAGCATAGCCTGTAAGAGACAGACAGGTGGTCCATGAAGGATGCTGTCTTGGTCACATCAGAGCATATTAAGATGAGGTAAAACTCAGGAAATGCTGCTACATTCTTTTTTGTCTGAACTAAAACAAATGCAGAATGTCCAGGCTTGTTTAGCTTTTGTAAATCATATGTAAATAAAATCTTGTGCAGGTAGAAGTGATGTGCCAATACTGTCCAAAAATAATTATCTTGGGGGGAAAAAAATGTAAAGAACCGTCCCCTGAAACAAATTATTTTATTAGCTTTAGATGTTAACTTTCTAAGCATGTTTTTAGTAGAACAGTTAATACATTAATTCATATTGATAATGCAAATCAATTTCCATCAAATTTATGAATGCTTTTTCCATGTTTATTTTTGTATGCTACAGCTTTTCTACTATGCTTCTAGTCAAAATCAGTTTTTACAGATGACCCAAACAAAAACAATGTGTCTGTTTGTCTTTCTACCTAGTAAATTAAATCAACACATAGAACCTTTCAGAACAGTAATTTCTCTCTCTCTTCTTCTATATATATAATATGTATTTAATTTATGTCATGCAAACCTTTTAGTCATTAATTTTCATAGCTCGCTTTTTGCAGAGATAAACCTAATGAGACTCAAAGCTGGTGATGTCTCCAGTTGGCAAACCCAGAAGGAGTGCGGTCAACAGATGTCTGATCTCTGGCATGTCAGCAAACAATATTTCTTGATATACTGTTGCCCCACGGGAGCTGGGGGACAGGGTGAGGCATGGGCTGGGAATTCGGCAGACAACAGTGCAGTGATTGCAGGTCCTAGATTCAGCTGGAGTCCAGCAGTGGCAGCCTGCAGCAACTGTGGGAGACCCTCTTGGGAGGACCAGGGCACCCAGGAACACTGGTCAGTGTCCCTCTGCTCCCCCAGGATCACAGTGGAGCTGCTGCATAGCTCTGTATGCAGCATCCATGCCCTCCACACTATTACCTCATTAATGCTTACCTCTGGTAACATCTGCCCTCCTTCTCCTTAAAAGCCCCAGCACAACCACTGATGTGAGAATTAAGGATCCTTTTAGCTTCATGATGAATGTGAGGGAAAGACACCCCTTGACTTGCACAGCAACTCAGTGAGGGCTTCTGGGTGTGTGAGTTACATCATGGGTATTATTTCTTATGTATGGGACCACCTAGTCACCTCAAGAAATGCTGAATCTGAGCATAAGCAGCATTTGGATCTTCATGAAAAGCATGTTTTTGTTTTCCTGTTCTGTTAGCTATTGTCTAGTGCTTTCATTACGGCAGTGTCTTGTTGACTATTAAGTTCCTGTGAGCCTTAGGATGATCAGGGAGTGATGCTGTGAATCTGAGCAAGAAAGCAGGCATATATTGCAAAAGTAAAACATAAACAGGAGTTCTGTCTTTCCAATGCAGCCTCTGCCTGCTCTGTAATTTTGAGAAAGCTATTTTTTAGGAGGATAGGTATTCTTATTTTGCCACACATATTCAAAATAAGTGAATATTAAAAAATAGGTCTGTACCGTAGCCAGGGCTACTTTACTTCCCAGAGCTGCTTTCTGTGACTGCTTCATGCTTAAGTCCCAGAAAGGCTCAACGTGTCAGTCTGTGCAGGCAATTGCAGGGCAAAGGGTGGCTCTCCACTCTCTGCTGCTTCTGGGTGCAGTGTGGGAGGAGGGCTTCTGTCTACGCTGTCATAGTCTGTGCCCTGTCAGTTTGCATCATCCCAAGCTGCTTTTGCATCGGCCGCTTTTGTGCAATAGAAGGATCCTTTAAAGATTTTTAGAGTAACAGTTTGTACAGAGAGTTGTCTAACGTGGTTCGGTGGAAAGCTTTATCCCCTACCTGTTTGTCTGAAAGCTGGTAGGACTGTTGCTTTTTGTTTCAGCTTTACCGTGGGGCCAGCATTACACTGAATCTAAAGTGAGCTGTATAGGTAGGGCAGGCACTTTATTAGCTGATTAAACCCAAAGTTTTTGTGTATTTTACTACTAATTGTACCTGATGTCTGCTGCTGTAAGCAAACGGGCTGTAACTGTAGTCGTAGTAACACAGGACAATAGTGCTACCTTGGATATTTTATTCTTGACATCATGTAGTTAGATGGTTCTAACTAAGCATTTTTCTTTAAGTCAAAATATTGAATCTAAAAGTTAGACATTTACTATGCAATTGTAAGGTCTACTTTCTCTTTGCTTCTTAGATGTGGAAAAATGCAGTGATTTAATTTTTTTTTATGTGAAAAAAATATCTTGATTTCTGTTGTAACAAATATCAAGTTCAGTATGAGATTCACTTTTTTTTTTTTCTTCTGTGTTAGAAATGGGCTTTAAACAGTAAAGTGATAACAGTGTAAAAAAGAATATCATTATTATTTTCCTTCCTGGAATAGCTCAAATAAAGATGAGCATGTGACCACTGGAAAATGTATTGTACTATGATTAGAAACACTTACAAAATTCATTCAATACAGAGCAAGTGTGGTTAACTCTTTTCCTTGCACTTTTTATCCTGATTTAACAGGATGTAATTATTTAGAAGAAAGTTAATGTAAAAATAGGTTTAAGCAGCATAAAAAAACCTGGACAGTTCATTCTCTGCGTGTCACCTGTCATCAATAGTATTGCACAGTCTGGTAAAAGGAAGAAGCAAGTTTGGCCTTCAAAACAGTATTTCTCCAAGAAAAAGCTAAGTTGCTAACCTTTAGCATAGATTTAACCATATCTAGGAATAAATTCACTCAGCAGTTGTGGAATAGGTTCCTATTTTAATATACATCTTTAATTTGTTGATATACTGTTTGAACAATTCTGTGTCTTACACCTTCTGCTTTCTTTTGATGTTCTTCCCAGGGTCAGCGTCTTTTTGAAAAATTGCTTGAACTGGCATCCCGAAATATTGAGATAAAACTAGTGAGTGATATACTGCCTGTGGAATCAAAGGTATTAAACGACTTGAAAACAAAGGGTAAGACCAAGGTCTTTATGTTTTTATGCCACTGACCTCTACATAATGTTCCTTCTACTTAAAATGCAGGCTCAGATGATGTATGAAATACACTGTTACCATATAATCCTTCAGCTTTCTCTGGTTTGTATTTACCAAAAAATCTGAAACTGTTTTCAGTTTTTGAAAACATTTTTCAAAGGGCAAAAAAACCCTATATATTTTTTGATGGTGATCATTTTCAACACAGATTACTATATGGACCACAAAGGGAATTCTAAAAAATGAATTAAGCAAAGCAGTTGCAATGTGTAGCAGCACCCTAACGTAACATGTCTGTTTATGGTAAAGAATAAAGAACACACTTTCCCAACAAAAATCAATTTTTATTTGTTTAAGTTCCTTGTAATTTCCTGAGTGGCCAAATAAAAGAAAATTACTAATGGAAGTCCTGGTCCCTTAAAGAGATCATCTTTGATCAAGACTGACACGTTATTTAAATGTAATAACTACAGAGACTTGTCATTTCATGACGCTGTCTGTTCCAGGGCTTTGATTATTTCTGTTATGTAACCAAAAGTGATATCGGGCCTTTGATAACCAGTAAGAATACATCAGCTTTGTCAGACGTCTGTGAAGCAAGGAATTATCTTTTTCTGATGTGTTGAAAAAGAAATAGGTATTTTACTATCAATGTCAGTAAAACAGCCTTTGAAAAAGTGGTTTCTTTTCCCTGTGATTCTAGTGTCCCAAGTTCCCCCCAGTCGGAGGAGATGAGACATAGGGCTTGTATGTTTGCGGTGATGTACCTGGCAATAGATACTTTAGCTATCATTTATTGAGGGCACCTAATATCAAGAACTACCCTCTTTCAAAAAAAGATGAGCAAAAATTTTAGCTAGAAAAGGGAGCAATGCTTGTCCTTAACACTTCCTTTGGTTTATGTGTGAATTGATCAGACCTGTGAGCTTTTTGAACAAACCAACGGAACGTAACCTTTTACAATTAGCTTCAGTTTCCCTTATTATACCTTGTCAGATTTCTAAGGCAAGAATTTCTAGAGTATTCAAATGAACTGATCAACATATTTGAGTACTCCGAGCTACAAGGAATTGGAGAAAGTCATTTTATATAGTAATTCTTGTGAGTTTTGCTGTCATTGTCTTTGAACCCTGTGACTGTAGATATTATTGTGTACTGTTGGCCTTTTTCAAAGATCAATGTTATAACTTCTTGATTTTCTCACTATGAATTTTTTTTTTCCCTCTCATTCCATGTTTTGTTTTGCTTATTTCTCCAAATTCTGATATTTTTGTTAAAATGTCTTGATTATGACATAGTGATTGCCAGCTCTATTGCAAGTCTTTCACCTGCATTTAGGTTTGTTGTTTGGTTTTTCCCAGCAGGAAAGATAGGTACATCTTTGTTTGGTTCTGCATTCCTGAAAAGAGATAAGTTAGTTTTAACATTCAATCAGATTTAGTTGTCTTAATTTTATGTTGAAATGAGCAGACCTTGTATGAACAGCAGATTCAAGGTATGTCCTTCTTGTGTCAAATATAAGCTAACTGGTAGGATAGCTAAAAA